TCTCCTCCTCCTCCTCCTCCTCCCCCTCCTTTACCTGATCGCCAAAATGATCTCCTCCTCCTCCTCCTCCTCCTCCTCCTCCCCCTCCTCCCCCTCCGCCTCCTCCGCGGAACTGAAATGATCTTCTTCTCCGTCTCCTCCTAATCCCGTTCATATTCCACCTTCCACCGCACTGATGACATGTCCACAATCTCTCATCAGCCGCAAAGCAGAGAACATGCGAAAGCGTTTCCAACTTTTCTTCACAAATTAATGCAGAATCGCAGATGTAACGACAAGAGAGGAAAGAGCTCCAAGCACTTATGAAGCAGCTTAAGGGACTAGCCCAGACAAGAGAGAAAGAAATGGAATGTACTATGCTACAATGGTCAGAACATTTTCTTTACCAAAGCTTCGGTAACTCGAGAGCGTGCCATCGACAGGATTGGGATTGAAGAGGGGGGTCCACCAGTCACAAGGCTGTGGCGCTGCCCATGTGTGCTACATGGGTGCAGCATGTGGGAATCACACCCACTACATCAGCACATACGAACTACCCAACAGAGAAGCGACGAGGACAAAATGGGGGGCAAGCAACTTACGTCTTTTCGGAAACAACTTGCTGTTCTTGTCGCTCAGCGCCCTTGCCGCATAAAGCTGGTAGAACCTCTGAAGGACTGGCAATAGCCGTCGCTCACTCTCTGGCCCATTCTCCAGCTGCAACAAGCACCCATATCACATGCCATTTAAGTCCTATAAAGAACAGTCAGGTATCAGGCTTAGGTTATTCATTGTCTGCCCGCATGTTTACAGCTCCATAGGCTATTGTGGACTACGCTATCAAATATCGACACCCCTCAGGCTGAATGAGATATGATGACACAAGGTCCTTGCCAAGACTTACAGCTCTTCCAGAATATAGCTCAACAGGCGACGACAGCAGAAAAGTTATGGGTTCAGGTTTCATCTCGTGCAGGCAGAGAGTTTTCTGTTTGTGTTTTTCTACATAAGGTGGGTCCTCAGTCCGGAAGTATCTTGCCTGCCAGTCTGTCCAGATACATGTAGTGGAGTGAAGTCCATTCTAGATAGATTGAGAGAAGAATATAGCGTAGGTCCATTCTTGGGCTTGCACCTCGGACAGCTCTGGCTTCACGATTCCAAAACCCTAAACCCCTAACTTCTTCCCCAGAGCGTAGGGACATTGCAGAAGCATATAATTATTATAATCTCAGCAGAGCCAACATCAAAAGCAAAAATTTTCCCCAAAATTTTCCCCTCATGGCTGAATGTGAACACTCAGCGTGAACGAGTAGCAGGTCTTGCCAATGATAGCCGGTACGTTGGATCACAAGATACGAAACTGAAAAACGGGCCCGTTGGACGCGCATTTTGAGAAAAATGCACGATCTGCGAAGATCAGCGGCAGAGATTCTCTCCGCCCGTTCTTCTCACAAAATGGGGTCCAAGATGCCCTGATTTTTTTTTTTTAATAGGCAGCGGCCTCCTGGGGGCTGGGCAATCGCGGGGATGCCCGTTACTCCCAAGTACGCTCCCCCCTCCCCCCCCCCCCCC